GGTTGTGTCACCACTGGCAGACTAAGATCTAAGTGTGTGTAATTGAGGTTCCAATAGCAAAGAATCCTTCAGTATAAACAATGTGGGTCATTAAAGCTTCCTAGCATTTAATTATCACTAATTAGTAACTAAGTGAGGCAACATCTTACGCAACAGACTCTTAGTACAGTGAAGGATAGCTCTCCCTGTGTTGTGGAGAGCAGATGGGCTGGAAGGCACAGGGATGGGGGTCATCCTGGTTGAGACTCAGCTCAATATTCAGTTGTAATCCATTGGTAAAATCGGGTATCAGAGTTACAGCATTGCTGAAATAACATGCTTGATGTTTAACTGTTATGTGCACACAGGGCACTGAGGGATCCTTTGGCATTGATAACGAGGAGTATGAAGCTATGCCTGTGGAGGTGAAGCTACTACCCCGGAAACTCCGCTTCTTCTGTGATCCCAGAATGAGAGAGCAGATGCTCCATGCAGCAATACAGTGAGAATTCATTTCAAAGGGGCCAGTGTTTACTAGTCTTACCAGGGTCTCTTCAAAGTGCATGAGACCTCACTAACTTGATTAACCCCAGCAGACTAATAAGCCTTTTGGCTATTTTTACGCACAAGGTACTTCCATTGGAAGTGGATGATTTGACCGGTCTCAAAGGGGTTAAAAATGCAAATGAAAATTCTGAGAAATGCATGTTAACTTGATGGCATCTTTTTTTTTTCCCCCTCCCTCCGAGAAGTCATCAGTGTTCCATTTACAGCACTGCAGGCTGAGTGCTGTGTGCCAGATGCTACTGCTGTAATGCCATTGTATATTAAAGTAAAACGAAAGCACACTTGTTCTTGTGTTCTAAGAGTTTAGGTCTATTTTACCCATGTATAAATCTGGAAAAAAATTATTTTGGGGGGAGTGATGCTAAGGAATTCTATGAAGTGTTGGGATTGCCACATTAAAACAGGTGGTTTGTTATCTGCTCCGTCACAAAATAAATTGGAGATTGGTGATACCAAGCTTCGGAGCAAGTTTCAAAACTCCCGATATGTATCTGGATGAGATATTTATGTCAGCCTTTTTCATCTTGCCAGATTCAACAGCACAGAGTTCCAGTAATAATACAGTAGAAATATATTCCTTTGATCAAGTTTAGGCATATTACACAGAAGCAAATTGGAAAACATCATTGACCCAAAGCTGTATGAGGTACATGTGGAAAGACTCTTTAACAAGCTGAATGAGTCTTTTTTTGTAAGTATTCCTTTTATTCCTGTAGTAATATAACACAAGTAAGGGCATCCAAATAATTTTTATTATTCATCGTGTCTGGTTGCTCTCCTCTAATGTAAACAGCGCTCACCACTCCTTATGCAATCTATATCCCCTTGAGCCTCAGTACCTTAATTAGTTTTGTTGCTTTTCTGAGCTTTTGTTTATAGCTTTGCTTTAATTGCTGAAAGGAAATATTATTGACTTAGGCAAGGTTACGTGTTGCCCTTCTTATTGTAGCTTATAAACTCACATGATTCTGCCTTGCTTACTGGAAGAAAAATCATCTTTATTTTTCTGATGTGATTGTTGCTTATTTGTAGTCTCTGTGTTACACTGTGATGTAGTCTGAGTTCATCTGTTGACTCCTTGCTGTAATCAAAATACGAACATTAGTGAATTGACTTCCAGCTGCTTTTTTAAGGACTGCATCCTGGCTACATGCTGCTTCACTAGCATCCTCTGCTGGAGACTTCATAAAGGAAAAATGCCTTGAAAGGGAAAGCAGGGTTGGGTTTCTGCATGATGCTGGAACTACACTGAATGCTCTCCTTCCATGGACTATTCTGTGGAGAAACTAATTACCTAAACTAGATGATCTTTAAAGTCCCTTCTAGCCCTAACCATTCTTCACTAAGATCTCAGGGAGTAGAAGCCTGCTACTTCTTTTTCATAGTTATGCTGGTGATAGGTCCTGTTTTGTGCTGTCTTTCTTTTGGTTTGCAGCAATTAAGAGTGCCCAATGGACCCCTGGGTCACTCTCCAAGGAACATGTTGGCTGTGCTCTGCTCTTTTTGCTTGCCACAGAGACACCTGGGACGTTGCTCTGCAGCCACTGGCTCGTTCAGAATCAGGGACAATTCCCACAAACAGTTTTTCCTCAAGCTGATATTTCTGTTATAAAATGTGTTTTTTCTCAAGTGGCAGGAAAGACAAGGCAGCAGCCATTTCAAAAAGGTAAGCTTTAATTGTATTAAAAAATACCCATGTTTTTAGTAAGCAGTTTCTCTACAGAGCCACAGGCCTATGGGAGCAACCACACATCTGCAAGATGCAAACAACATCAGAGCTGTTAGAACTACAACCAGCCTGCTGCAAGGGGGGAGATGATGAGAACTAGCTCCTTGTTCATCTGTACCATTTTACAGGGAAAACAGCTAGTTCTCTTCCATGGCATCAGATACACGGCTCCCATTGCAATGTGATTCCTTGCTTGAGGGTAACCAAGAGCTCCCTTCAGAATTGGTGGTGTTAATGTTGTTCTGATGTTTCAAGTACCAAGAATCATCTGAGACACAGGCTGATATTTAAATATTCATATCAGCATAAGTTGAGTACCTTGTATAAATACCCTTCAAGTAATTTTCCTCCTTCTGCAGTTCAGAGTTCTTCCAGTAAGGGGTGGTTCTAAACCTCTAAACTGCAGTGTTCAGAGGGGAGGTGTGAGGCAAATATTACATAAAATAAGCCGGGGCTGAACCCGCTATCTACAGTGTTGAGGAAGGGACTCAGTTCTCATGTTTCTGTCTGACAGCAACACAAAAAAACTTGCTTTGTACAAACTCCCAAGACAGGATGGAGGAGTAGAATCCTAGGTCCCACTAATGAAGACACTTACCCTGGCTTAAACCTACAGTCCATTCTAGAAGGGCTTAAAATACTGTAACATAAATAAAAAGGAAGGATAACAACCTAATAATGGACCAGCCCAAGGCACCTGTTTATTTTGACCACAATTAAACATTCCCATTTGAATGGCATGTTGCATTAGCCAAGACCTGAAATCCTAGTTCACAGGCATTTAGTACCACCTGTTTTAGACAGACAGATCACACTGTTAAGTCAGTACATTTGACTCCCTCACAAAGGGCATTTATGTTGTCTTCTCCCATAATCACTACACCATTGGCTTCAGGGAGGTGGAAAGAAGACAGCAGCTAACTTAGAAGTAAGGGCTAGGACAAGAGTTTGGGTTAGTGTGCATGCTTTGTACCTAGACTTTTGTGTTAGGACAGAGTGCTCTTACCCTGCTATTCCAGAAGCCCCTGCCTTTCCACCTCCCAGAGTGAAGCTTGCCTGTCCTTTGCATAGTCTGGCACCAAGAGGGCCACAGCTACTCCCAGCTTTTTGTCCATTAACTTTGACAGTTCTTAAAAAGGAGGAAGTATCACCATAACCCTGCTTTACAGAATAACCTGTACACTAAGATATTTTCTCTTGAAAATAGGGGCAACTTTCTTCTGCCCCTAAGGGTGCTGGGCAGGTGAGCTCACCTCCTGAGACAGATGACCATTAGCTCCTAAGATACACTGCAGTAACTTCTTCATATATGCTGGAAAAGAAGGTCTGTAAGACAAATCTGAATTCTGATTCCATAAAGTGCCTTTCTTCTAGTATCCTTTATAGTTCTTAATTGGCTCTATGCAGCTTGGCCTAACCTTGCAGTGAGAAGACTTTTGGCTGATTTAAATGTCTGGCATGGTATCCCTTGTTCAGATTGAAAACCTAGCTTTTACTTCTCTCCCAAGCTTTACACTTCCATCTAGATAGGACAAGTAGTAATAATTCATTGCTCAGTGATACACTCTTAGTGCAACTTGAGTTAAGATACAGGTATGAAGCTCTTATTCTCCTGGTTAAACTCAAGGAAGTACCAGCTGAGAACCTGCAATGGCTATACCATGACTTGAGTTTTGGAAAAGAACACACCTGACTGTCTGCCAGGGCACAGGATACACCTGGTTACTGTAACCACCATTCAGCCTGGGCTCTGATCACAGCAACTAACCAGAGGTCTTACACCAAAGAAACAAAAGGCACCACTGTAAAGGCAAAGTACTTTGAATGGATGATATTATACTAATCAGCAAGTTTTGCCACACTTTCCTCCCTCTTTTAATTCAAAATACACCAGATAACTCTCTCCCTTCCAGCTGCTAGTGTTCAGCAAAGCAACTGTTGAGTTGCTTTTTAAATGTATTTTAAATGTCTGCTCTTAACTGTTTTACCTTGAATTATGCTATCTCCCAGAACGATAAGACTCACTTAAACTGGTTCCACGCAAAACCAGCCTCATGAACAGGCCTTCATGTCCTAAGCTATAACCATTTGTTTGTATAATGTACCCACTTATCAACCATTTTCCACGTGCAACAACAGTAAAAGCAGTGTCTTTTAGAAAAGGAGTGCAGGTGGAAAGTACTTTTGCAGCAAATCAAATAAGGAAGTATTAGGAGAGAAAAGTCTTTTTGTTCTGTTTTCTGTCAGGCAACTTCCTGACTTCTGTAGCAGTCACCTGGCAAGAGAGGCTTGGTAGAGAAGCAAAATTCCAAGGAAGAGCAGAATAGGCTATAGCCATCCAGCTGGATGTAGCATGTGTGCTACTTCTACAGTAATCTGCCTGCTTTGATGCTTCTGCACCCATACTATTGCTAACAACTGAAGACCCAATTTCTGGCAAACAGAGGTTTAATAAAGGTCAAATAGTAATTTCTGGAGGTTCTGCTCAGTGGGATCTAGCAGTGCTGTCTACTTCACCTCATGTTCTAACAGCTTGTGAACATGGTGCCCTAATGCAGGGTTGTTAGAAAGCCTCTGACTGCAGTGGCTGTAAAATTTCAACAAGTTTTAAGTTTGTGTCTATTTAGTTTAGCAAAAGAACTACTGAGAAATAGAAAGTCATTAACAGTTGACCACAGCTAAACTATGTAGCAAACCTTCAAGAAAGTGAGAGGAAAAACTGCTAGAGACTAGTTTCAGTTCCTTTTTTTTTGGTATCTGAAGGAAGTGACAGCAATGCACTGTCAGCTATATTTCCTCAGGGATCATCACTACAGGCAGCAGGTTAAACCTAAAGTGGAAGTTAGAGAACAAAAGCTTGGAGATTGTGGGTCACTTTTATACTTGAGGTGTCAATTTAAAAACAAAGCCATTTCTTAAGGAAAAGAGACTGGTCTTTCCATTAAGTGATACTCAGCTGTTTTTACCTCTCTACCCATTTTTTCTCTGCAACCTCCTAAGGATGATGATGTTACAGTTGTGAGCAATTGACAAGCAGCAGCATGTTTTCTTCTGTACAAAAACATCCAAAGCCTTGAAAAAGCAGGCAGGGGAGTGGCTGCCCAGAGACAGGCAGATCACAGGAACATAATATGCTGAAGCTCATACCAATGAACTGTGCAATAAGCCTTGTGAGGCCCCTGATCCCACACCTCGCTAGAACTCCACAGCAAACAAAACTACCCCCTTGCTGCAGACAGCCTTCAAGGAGAAACAGGACACACCAGCCTCCTCCTTTCCTGAGGGAAACAATCCACAGAGGTCTACTTGGGGGACATTTGCTCTACCTGTTTTAAAAGATGCTCACTTGCTTTAAAGTGGGTGAGACTTTGGTGGTTCAGGCTCTTCCTCATCCTATAAATTGCAAGGACAAATAGATATATCAGCTACAGTTTGCATTTCTGCAAACTGCAGAAAGCCTCCAACGGTGCTGAACTCCATAATGGTGGAAGCAGCAACTAATCAGCCACAGTTCAGGAAGAACAGTTAGCTTAAAGGTGATGCTACTACTGGCTGAAGGATTTGGGACAAAGCAGTATGGCACACCTGGAACCCACAGTACCATTCTTGGATTTTGCATGGCAATGGGATTACTCTTTACTGGGACAGCCTTCCTGGAGGTAATGACTAGTCCTTCATGAATTGAATCTTATTCTGTCTCCAGCATAAAAATAAAAAAACACTGTTCATCTGGTTCTACAGTTCTGCCCAGGAAAAAGAAAGACTTGCTGTTAGACATTGCTTCTAGTGGCTGTGCCATTTAAGAACACCAGAATCCAAGGGAACCTCCTGCAAACTTCGAAGCTGTTCCAGCTGAAAGGTCACAGACTGCTCTCTGCCTCACACCGAAAGCCAAGGATAGCGGCAGGCAGTGCTGGAGGCTCAACAAAAGGAGGATCAGCAAACAGTGTTAGAGCAAAGGAGTGGCAAGTACCATCAGCTACAAAGGAAGGGCTAGTGATATTAGTTAAAGCATACCCAATCCAGCCAGCACCATCTGAGCTGAGGCCAGAGAACATAGTGACTGCAAAGTGGCTCAGTGATGTTGGTCCCTGTTAAATGGGAGACTGTCTTGCTGGTTTGAAGATTTTAAACCAAAACAGCAGGAGTGATGCAACTAAAACCCAAGGAAGTGGTAGGGTGGATTAAGTAGAGATGGTGTTCTTCTCCAGCTGTGAGATAGGCAGGTGCAGTCTTTGCCAGTTTTTACCACCTCAGGTGCTGGAAGTGAAACGGTGCTGCTCCAGTAGGCAAAGTCATGAGATCCTGAAGCACCCCCAATCCCAAACTTGCTTCTGCCATTGAGGAGGAAGGGTGGCTTTATTCCAGTTCAGCTGCTAGAAGTTGGGTGAGGAATGATTAAAGGAGTCCTGGTTTTTATCATTGGTTTAACTGTCCCCACTAATAAACTTGGTAGGGGACCATGAGACTGGGCCATTAACAGCCTGTGCCCTCTTCAGTCCCCAGGTAGAAGGGGGAGTTGATAGGAGGGTTTTCTAGTCCAGTCTGAAAGCTCAGCTATAGCATTTCACATTGGTTGTCATCAGACAAAGTGCTTTCCTGAAGTGTTCAGTCCTCAGGTATCCAGGCTAGGGCAAAACCTAGCTATCACTGCCAACAGTGAGGATTGGTGCAAAGGTGCCACTGGTCCTAGCTAAAAAAACAAAAAAACACAAATGAAAGAGAAAGGGAGACAAAACAAACAAACAAACAAAAGCCCTGGAGCAAGTATTCACTGGGAAGTTGAGGGGGAGAAAATAAAATCACATTTTGTTTTAAAATTATAAATACTCTCCATATAAAGTTATTAAATAACTGTGGCTGTGGTGAGTTCCAGTGATCCTCCTAAGCAGTGTCTGGTAGTCTTAAAAAAGTGATCTTTGCTCCTCATCTCTCTTGCCCTTGGTTTAAGTGCAGCAGGGGTTGTCAATGACTAGCATAACATCAATGCCATACACTTCCAGCAAGTCCATAAGGAAACTTCGATCCCCTTGGGGATCCAGGCCCATGCCTCGTGCGTGGTCAGCTGTCAGTGTCTTGTCCTGGCTGGCTGACACCTCCATCAGCGTCTGAAATATGCGGTTGTTCTGCTCCATGAAAAACCTGTAGGATAAAGTCAGCGAAGGTGATAGCATTAGACCTCCAGAAATACAGCATATTTACCAAACAGGCTGCAGAGCCCCAGAACTGCATTTAACCCCCTTTAATCAGAGATCCCACCTTCTTGGGTGATGCTGTACTTTTCCATTCCCCTATGGATGACCCAGAATAAACAAAGATAAAGCAGTAACTTTTCCTTTACAGTGGTGTTTCCATCTGGTTTATGGGAGGCATTTCCCTCCTCAGAATCAAGCCATGTTATCAGCTAACATGTGCCTTGTGGTCACCAACTGGGTGAATCAGACTTATAGCTCCCATAATGTAAATGAGGAAACAGTGTTGTCACCCATCTAGTAAGCCAGTGGGTAAATGAATTCTCCTGATGAAAAACACACCACTGAGAGCTACTTCTTACCTCCTGCTTTCCTAGAAACATGCAGGGCTATTCAGAAATCGCTGTGACTGTGTCCCTGCAGCTCAGTGATCAGAGGCCTGCCCCAACAGCCCTTCACACAGTTTCATCCCATTACTTCTCACCTGCTGCAGACTATGAATAGCAACAGGCAGTGAAGGGCTTCACAGGTGGTAGATGTGTGGTCTTCATCTAATTCCGTACCTCCTGCTCTACACCCAGTTCTGGTTCCTCTGTTTGCCAGGTACAATACCAGCCACATCAGTGGGCCAGTCCTTCACATGCAGGTCTTATCTCCACACCGTACCGCCCCCAGCATGGTACAGTGCCTCCTTCCCATGAACACTGTCCTTTCCTGAACCAAATGTTCTGGCAAGAAAAGTACTATAGTGCTTGTTTTCAAAAATGGGAGGGGATTCTTGTATTTCTGATTGTGTTTTTAAAATTCACTTCTCCCTCTCAGCACTTAAGAGACCCTAGTAAATACTAATACAGCTACATTTGGCTTCTAAAAAGGAAAGGAAGATGATCTGAAGAGGAACAACCCGTTTGGTTCTCAGAGGAAGAAAGCTGACTATGGAATTACACATGATGTTTCATAATATGGCAAACCAGTGCAACATGAAATCACTGCAAGAGGCTCCCTAAACTTAACAGAGACCAAGTATCAAGAGGTAGCCACTCACAAGATGAAAAGGTCCTCTTCACAGGAGCTGCAATCCTCACCCACTTCTTGAGAATACATTAACATCTGCCTGAGAGAAGGGAGACAGATTCATTGCACAAGTGAACCTCATAGCATTATGTGAAGTCCAGAATCTCCAAGAGATGAGCTGAAGCAGTGGAATACTTGGAAAATACTATGACAGGGAAGAGAGTACAAAGGAGCAGTGTCCTCTTTATCCCACATCACACAGCTCTCCTTTCAGGATCAGGACCACCCAGACGTCTGTTATTACCTCTGGTCGTTGAGCCGCCGGTACTTCTCCTTGTCAGCATTGTTAATTTTCAGGAGTGGCTGCAGATGCTCATGATGCGTCTTCACATTCTGGTTGTCCACATAGACATCATAGAGATCCCGTTTCTGCTCAAAGATCTTTTCTGTTGTACCTGCCAAAATCAGAGGAGATTTTCAGAGCAGCACACTGCTTTCCCAGCGGACCAACTGTTCTTGCCTGCTTTCATAGTTAGTCATTCCATGCACAACCTATTTCTCACCAGTTTTATTCCACACTCTGGTGTCTCAAGACATTTTTGCAGCCTGAAGTTAAAAACATCACACCTAATCCATCATACTTACAGGCCACGTATGATACTTCTGTCTCCAGCATTTCTATGTCTGCCACATTCACGTAGAAGAATGGTTTGGATTCTGGGACAGTTCCTCCAAGACCAGGCAGAGAAACATTTGCAAGGCAACAGCAGCAATACACTGCAGACAAGAGAAGTACATCCTGAAATGCTTTTGGTTTTCCCTCAAGGGCAATCTGAACCCCGCTTACCCAGCCCTCCCGCACACTTCTATGAAAACAATGGTTAGAGCTCTGAAATGCCCCTGAACACCAGAACTTCTCAAGTGACAACATCCTGTTTTGGATAGGAAATAATTGGTTCTCCCATAGGAATCTCATGTTCTGGATTCCACAAATTCAGTCAGTGCTCTTATTGTCCTGTGCTAATAGGAACTGTGTTTGACAGTGCCAAATAAAGTTCTTACTCAAGAGGCCTGAAGAAAAGCATTTTGTAGGAAAGGCTTAAATGCAGAGTGAACGGTATCTTTGTGAGGAATGGTCACAATGCATTTTGAAGACCTGAATGATGTCTATCCCCTAGGTACCCACAGGCATTTCTGCAAGGCTTCAGCCTACTAGATCAGAGCTCTGCAGTGTCCCTGGAAACGTACCTCTATAGCAGACAACTCCAACTGGGGGTGGTGAAAATATCAATATGCGCTTGCGCAGCAGGGCAAACTTCCAGAGGACAAGGATCTGCTCACCGAAGAATTTGATGAACTGAGACATACAGCCAGCAGGGTGTGTGATCTGCAGGTGGAGGGAAAGGGAAGAAAACAGCTCAGAGGTGAAACAGGGACACATGCACAGATGCTAAGTCTAAATGTGGGAGCAAGACCAGCACACAGCTTGTAACAGTCCAAGTAACAAAATCTTATCTAAGGCAGCCTAAAAAGCGCAGGAGTGACTGCTTACATAAAGACATATGAGACACCAGCAAGGAGCAGCAGCACTCTGACCACTCCTGCAGGCCTCAGAGCACCTGCCTCACCTTCATCTCTGGGTACATGTATCTGTGGATGGAAGGCAGCCAGTGGACAGGTTGCTGAGAGCCGGAGGTGCCCTTGCTGTCAGGGAGAACTCCTTTCTTGTCATCATAGAACGCCTCTAGATGGGAGTAGTGCCCTGGCATCTCCAGCTGGTGTCTGGAAAAGAGAGAAAAAAAGGGGAGATCTGTAGTGTCTCCAGACTATTTATTTAGTGCCTTGCCCTCAGCCAACATCTGATCTCCCAGCCAGAAGGGGTTCTGGGTGCCTCAGTTGCACAGACTCATCCAGGAGGGCAGACAAAGCGTCACAATTAACCAGCAGCTTTCAGTGCAGCCAGAGAACACGGGCAGGACTGATGCCAGCAGCAAGCTCGTGTATGCACAGTACTGATCCTGTTTTAAATACACTCAGGTAGGAACAGCTTTCTTTTCTACCATCACCATTTTCCCTGCTAGATCCACTCAACACAGCTGAAGTACACAACTAGCCAGGATTACCATCATAAGTTTAGAAGCCTTTTGTAAGCCCTTAGTGAAATGGTTTTTGGAAGGAGAAAAGGGGAACTTCTTGTTCTCTCACCTCTCCGTGGGACAATTATGTCCACATAAAATAAGTAGGGCTTGGGTAGCATTTGACTAGCCTGTTAGCAAAGAACAGACTGCTGCTAATTGCTCCCTTATCTCCTTCACCTTGTGAACCTGTAGCACCTTCTGGAGAAATAGTCATTCAGGGAAATCACAGCACAGCGTTGTAGCCGAATCTCACTCAACGCCTAAAACCGCTCTCCACGGAGGCTACGTTAGGTCTCCCAGGCAGGGAGTGGCCAGTCCCATTCCCAAGGGAACTTACCTGACCTGGTTCTCCAGGAAGTGCATGTACCTATACAGCAGGGTGTAGGAAGGGGAGAGAATCCCCACGGACTTCATGCGGGCACCACGCTCTAACTCACTCTCCACAGGCATGTTGGCAAAGCAGGCCAGGCCAAAACAGAGCCCTTTCCGGAAATAACTGGAGACAGATGTTTGACAGAAGGGTTAATGTTAAAAAGAGGAAAAAAAGGAGAAAGAAAGGTAACTGACTGCTAAAAATACTGATTTGGGAACACAGTTTCTTCTTTAAGGATTCCCCTGAAATCCCACCCTGCTATCTGAAGGGCTGAGGACAGGTGCCCCAGTCTTCTCAGGAACAAGACAGGATATTTAAGGCAAGAGTGCACTAAAGCCCCTACCACACATCACAGGCCAGTAAGGAATGCAAGTAAGGAAATAACTTGGAATGAAGACTAAAAGAGGATGCACAACTCAGTCAATGCAGTGCCCTTCCTCCAAGGAAGAAGCCTGCAGTCATGCAGTTCTGAGTACAGTCTAGCTACCTACTCATATTTTGGGTGCCAGCACATTGAAGCACACTCTAGTTGACTGCAAGGGTTCAGTTCATGCGCCTTTGAGAAAGTAACTGTTCTTCCTGCCCAAAAGGAATTGTGACACTGCGGTTCATTGCAAAACATTGCTGCATTGCAACACTGGGGTAGCAAAATGCACAAAGTTCCTATGCCTTTCTGCTGAAGGAAGGAGCTAGCAAAGAAGAAAGTAAGCAAGAACTGTTTATCAGAACATTTAAAGGATCCAGAAGCACTGGCAGAATTAAGAACCTTTTTCTAAGACCTGTTTCTGCAAAATCCTTCCCATTCCAGTTCTGCCATTCTTTCCCCTTCTCCCTAGGCCTCTGCTGACAGTCCCAATAGTGGCAGTGCAGTGTAATTTGCCCCATACACATTAAAATTTGCACCCCACTGAGAAGCTGGCCTGTCCCATTCACCAGTTGGCCTCCACAGCCAGAGCTGTCACACAGCAGATCCCTGCATCTAGCTGGTACTTAATACGGTGCTGAAAGTGTCTGAAAAGTACCTCTGGCTCAGCTAGAACCAGTTTAGCAGCACATTTATGCAGGAACTTAACTTCCTGGATGGTATTTTTTCTTGCATTTTCTGAATTAAGGGATGGTGGTGTAGATGTGCAACTAAGAAAAGTAGTAACATAACATAGCTCAAACATACTCACATGAAATCTGACTGGATTTTGTGGGACCCGCTTGCCATGGATTTGAATTCCACACCTTCCAAATCTATATCTTGGGGTAAACACCACTCCACCATGTTACCTGCAGAGAAGCAAAGTTATTTGGGTAAGCTTGAATACAGTACTCATTTCTAAAGTGCAAAGAGCATCAACAGCAGGTTGCTGCTTTTATAATACTGGGATGCCAGCAGTGTGCCCTAACACAGCTCCTGAACTCCTGAATTGTCACAGACAGTAGCTGACATACAATACTCCACACGTCTCGTGCAAACTTGTTACTGTTGTAACTCAGACATTGCAGGACTTTTGGGGCCATTTCTGAAGCTGGTGCTAGACTGGGGGGCTATACTTGATACGCTTAATCACAGAGCAGCTACAATTTTACCTGAAGTGGATAAGCTTTGGTCTACACGAGTATCCCATACAGAAAGAACCCAAACTATAGACTGCTGCTCTTTAGGATGAGTTTCTGTGGTAGCTCACACCACCACCAATACTGTCCTTTGGCTGTGCTTGGCAGGGCTGGTCAAACAGGAACCCCTAAGCCCAGTCATCACTACTTCCCTGAAATCTCTCCTATTTTCTTCAGGATAGGAGATGTTAGTTGAAGCTTTATATGGAGGCTGAGGCGATCCAGGTACTGCAATGTGTTTGTGTATGCTAGAATAACCAAACAAAACAGCACATAAACTACAAGCTAGATCAAGATTAGCAAATATCTGTCACCTGCCAAGCCAGCCAGAAAGCATGCAGTTGTTCCGGGGAAAAGGCCACCTGAGGAGCCTGATCCTGGAATAGATGATATCAGAGAAGTCACAAAATGTCCCTAAAGCAAATGAAGTCCAGCAGCAAGTTTACCACAGACAAAAAAAGGAGTGAATTCTCACGCTTTCCTGTGCCAGCATTTCAGAGCCTCACCTGCTTACCTGGGCACTCCCACTGCACCGAGCTGTGCTCCAGGGTTACCCACTGAGTTTCTGTTCTCTGTCAGTCTGCCCACAGCATTTGAAATAATGTGGCTTAGTTTTAAAAACAAGGCAAACAAACATTCTTCAGTATAATGCAGTGGCAGATGCAGCACAAAGGTGCTTCCTACAGGTACAGTCCTTCCCCTGCCCTTTGGGGTGAGCATCCCAGCTGTGCTTTCACCAACAGCACACATTTGGAAGGGCCTTACACTCAGCTGAGACTCTTGGAGATATTTGAATATGAGGCCTCATTTCTGAAGCCTGTCTTTTGTCTCATTACTCATACTGCACAAGTACATGCCTGCATTCTCACACAGGAATTGGGCTTAGCTACTGACATTTAAATAGGCTATTTTTCTTCACACATAGATGCTGTATTCAGCAGACCTCCCCCAGCCCTGCCTGGCAAGGACTTCAAAAAAACCCAGCAGCGTTAGGCATGGCAACAGGAGAAGTTTGCATCCAACCAACCACTTCTAGTGCACAAGGAGACCTCTCCCGCAGAGCCGGGCTGGCCGGGGAGCAGCAGGAGCCTCGTGACCCCGAGCCCAGCTCTGTGCGATCACAGGCGAAACCACAGAGCTCTGCTGTGAAGCGCCTTCGCCTCCGAGGCGTGTGAAAGGCTGGCAGGGAAAGCCAATGACATCATGTCAGCCTGCGCGGTCCCCTGTAGGTTTTGCATATTATATATAGATGGTGGCTTTTGTTGTTTGGGGTTTTGTGTGTGGGTGGGTTTGGCTTTCTTTTTAAAGGCACAAGACACTTCCTTGAAAGAGTGAGGAACTCAACCTTCGAGACTGACTGTTGCCTCTTAGCCACAAAACTGTGGTTCAGGCCAAGATCTGCTTTTAAGCCTTGCACTAGAGAGGATCACTTACTGGTAGATTACCTGTAGATTAACAGATCGATACACAAGAGTGCCATCAGCAGCAAAAGAAATTGGCTTTGCTCAGTTTAGTCACAAACACTGTCAGGTGTCATATCCACTGCAGAGGTGTCCAAGTGGACATGGCTCAAACAATGTCTGTTCTGTAGCAGTTATAAGGAAAGGACGACTTGAAACAGAACTTTGTCCTACATGTGACCACAAAACCAACTCACATATCATGCAGCTTTTTTTTTTTTTTCTGGGATCTGTCAGGAGCAACCTGCACCTGCACTCCTGGCTGTTCCTCACGCCACCTTGCCCTGGGAACATACGGGCGACGTGGCAGTCGGAGAACAAACGTGGAGATAAAAAAATAAGAAAGTTGGTCTGGTGAAACAGCAGAGCAAACAAAGGAGAGACTTCAGATGCGATAGCGACTGCCGGCCTGCCTGAGAAACCGGAGGAGGGAGCAGTGTTGTAGAAAAACAGGAAGCATTGCCCTTCCCCGTGGAGAAAGCAGGTCTCGTGCGCACAGGAAACTTTCCAAGTGAGAGTGACCCAGTGTCAGAGAGCAGGTGAGTCATTTTGCTGAGAGTCAAATCTGCGGATCTGATCTCTTGGGAGCAATCTCCCAGCTTCAGGTCAGGTCAGAACCAACACTCAGTTTCTGGTGTGCAAAGTTTTGGATGTTCTTCCTCTTTCTCTTGTATTTTCTTTCCACTGGATTTGCACATCCTTACAAAAAAGATAACTGCACTAGCATTTGGGGATCATCACCTGGCCCTCCTCAGCATTAGATGTTTCCCAAGAGTTTTAGGGTACCCAGCTGTGCAGTGCTACCATGTTGTGCCAGGACAGGAGAAAGCATAAAGTGTGACCTAGCCATACACAAGGTTCACCATGCTGGAGCCAAGGACAGCACCACTGATTTAGAAGCTGCCTCTGGCTCTTATGTTCAGTCACTCACATGAGCACTGACACAGTCACAGGGACACCGGAACTGTAACAGTGACCTGGCAACCCCACAACCCACCTTGTGAACTCATTGCATGCAACTGCTATACACTGAGCTTGTCTGCTTCAAGCCCCTCTAAATTCAGGAGAAAAGCCATTACATTCTTTATTGGCATAGTCACCACTTCATCCTTCTACAGTAAAACATCTCCTGCCCAATTGCTTGCCTAGTTGAGCAGACACTGCCTGGCATAACTACCAGCCCAGCCACAACCAGAAATTTTGCCTTTCATATGCCTCAGCAAGCTGCCAAAGGAGGTCTGCTGTGCTTGTCCTAGGCAGGATCAAGCAGGTTTCCAGCTCAGACACTAACTGGATGATTTTCTTTAAGTCACACACACAAGGACCAGATACCCTTATGAACATTACAGAAGTCCTTCACACCATCTGATGTGGTTGACCCAGGAATTGCCATATCCTCTTTCTGACTCTAGCAAGTTCAGACCACTCAAGATCTTTTTTCCAGGTCCACATCTTTCATAGGGCACTTTGCTCTCCACCTGTGAAGCTGACACGTGTACCTCACAGTCCTGTCATGCTCCTTACATTCATCATCCATTCTGAGTAGCAGCTGGAGGATGAATCTTCCTGGACTTGACAGACTACTCCAAGGCTGATGACACCCAGCATTAATTGCACATCACATGTGAGAAGAGCTGTTTCCCAACTTTCCCTGGACTTCATTCAAAGCAACAGCTGGCTCAGACAAACTCCTGAGAAAGCTCAGCTTTCTGCCAACCAAGAAAATCTCACCATTTCATAGAAGGCATATGCTCTCAGATTGAAAGACAACCTGCTGTTGCTGCAATCATCCAGACTCTTTCATGTTTTGGATACTTAGGAGAAACACCTCCCCTTCCCGTCTCCTGTTGGAAAGATGACATCTAATTTCATTTTGGATTTTGAAAAGTCAAGAGCCTCTGACCTCTAGACTGAAGACACCTCTCTCTGGTGCAGTATGGAAGGGGTAACTTCTTGAAAGCCCTGGGGTGTTTGAGGACACAGCAGCCATGCTGTCTGGCAGAGTGCATTTCTGACAGCACATCACACCTGGGGCTTCCTTCTCTTCACTACTTCCTTAGAATTTTCTGTTCAAGATCAGCATCCAGTCTTTACTATCAGGACCCCCTTGTGAGCATGATGTCTGTTACTTTCCCTTTCCACTGAAGAACAAACCCCACTATGCTTCCCAGAGCTCTTTCCTGTCTCTAGTACTTTTGCTATGGATTTGCTAAGGAAGTGCCTGTCTACAGAGGAAGGAGGAGCTTGCTCCCACACCTGGATGCAAATGGGCTCCTGAATCTCCCAAGCTGATTCCTAAACTTTCTGACTGTACCAAGTCTTTCAGCTATGCACCACTCTTGCCTTTCTAACCCAGGCTGGCACCTGGCAGCCAAGAGACCCAGCAATCTGTCTCAGGACATCAGACCCCTGCACACCTCTGTTCACAGGTGCCAGGCAGGTGCTAACTTCCTATCTGTGTTGTAACATCCTGTTTGTGGATACCACTGGAGCACAGGACTAGGAAAACAAAGTTAAGACGTTTTCTGAAATGCTGATTTACAGATTTTAAATAAATAACCTCTGTCAGTAAAAGAAGTGATAGAACACTGAGGTCCAACAGCACTGAGGGAGACGGCTATGGCAGCAAAAAGTGGAAAATACATTCCCTTGCTGTTCTCCTGTGCCCTCCTGAACTGCAGCACTCCTTCAAAGCACTAAGTCCCAGAGATCCTACCAGAGGCCAGCTTCTAAACACACCAGTCACTAAGAAATACACAGCCGAGCTGCTGCTGCCGCCGGGGATCATGCCCTGCGAGCCTGCCGGATTCACGCCTGCCACAACCAGCATCCATCACCGATAGCTGCGGGCAGGTCTGCGCCACGCCACGGAGACAGAAGGATGCTCTCAAGATGCTCTAACAGGTTGGTGCCCTCCGGGCAGCGCTGACCAGAGGCTCGGCCTGAACCTGTGCGAGGCACAGCGGGTGCCCCAGCGCCGTCCCCAAAATCCCTGTGCCGCGACTCGCTGTGGGGTAGAGACACCTGTCCCTCTCCTCGGAGCGGCGCCAGGCGCGGCGCCTTCCTCCCGCCACAACTTCTTCTCGGCGGGATGGAGACCGAACGCAATCCCTCTTGTGCTCCGTCTCCGCAAACGCCTCCGGCCCCCGCGGACCCGCGGTCCCCCGTGGGGGCAAGGGGTAGCCCGGCTCCCGCCGCCCGCTCTCCGCTGGCTCCATCCCTTGGGAGGCGGGATGCGGGGGGAGCGGTCC